AAACAAATCTATAGAAGGACATAAACCATGGTGTCATAAGACATCTATGAGCCATTGAGCCTGCATGATGAGCCAGGCATGATTCTAATAGCTTTATGCGTGATACGTACTACCTCATTTAACTTACTTCATATTGACCTTATGAGGCACATACTATTCTCATTCCCATTTTATAGATGAAGAAGAGGAGTCATGGAGGATTAAAGAACAGGCCCAAGTCTGCCAGCTAGGAAGTGGTAGAGTAGAGTTGTGAATGTAGGCCGGTCTGATTCTACAGCCTATGTTCTAATCTGCCGAGACTTCATAAATGGTAAATTCTCTCAAAAGGTTTGAGCCAAGAAAGCTGGAGCATCGGAGGTCTGTGTTCATGGCACACCAGAAAGATGCCCAGGGCTGCACAGGCAGGTCCCAGGCAGGCTGGCAGTCACTCCCACTCTCAATGCCTGTCTCCTCCCCTGCCTCCTATTGGCAAGGAATCCCTCCAAGACTAGCATGGAGAAATGAATTTCTTGGCCTCTGTTAGGTCATGGGAATTGGAAAGAAGAGATATTAGTCACTTTGCCTAGAAAATGCATATGCACATAGTATTGCAGAGGGTTCTAATCAAAAGAAAATCGCTGGCTGAGAAGGACACAGCATCACTTCTGTGTCTTCCTGCCAAAAATGTAGAACCTGGATCTAACAATGGAGAAACATCAGACAAGCCCCAGTGAGGGCCGTTCTATAAAATAAGTGGCCTGTACTCTTCAGAAATGTCAAGTTCATGAAGGACAAAGACAGACTGAAGAACTGTCACAGATCAAAGGAAACCCAAGAGATGAAAACAAAAGCAACATGTAACCCTAAACTGGGTCCAGGACCAGAAAACAAATTGTTTCTTTCACTCTCAAGAACATTAGTGGAACAACTGGTGAAATTCAAATTAGGCCTGTGGATTAGATGACACAGAGATAACAGAGAGGAAGAGAAACAGACAGTTAGAGAGCAAACAAGGTAAAACGTTCAATATTTGGAGAATCTGGGGAAAGGACATTCAAGAACTCTTTGTACTATTTTTTGCAACCTTTCTGTAAATCTGAAATTATCTGAACATTTAAAAAAATATTTTTAGAGATCTTGACGTCTAGAGCCACAGTGCTTCATTATGTAGTGAATGAGAATTGCCTTAACCGACAGCTCTGCACACCCTCTGCATCTACAGAAAAGGCTGAGAAGTGTTCTCGTGAGACAACTAGCAGAGCAAGATGGCAAGAAGTTCCTAAACCATGGAGTGCAGTGCAGCTGGGAGGTCAAGAGCACAAGTTGTTCACCTCCAGTGCTCTGGGACCTTAGGCAAGCTATATAAGCTCTCTGTGCATCGACTGGCTTGCCTGTAAAATCAACATAATAACAGTATTTATGAAGAAGACTATTTATGTGACATTAGGAAAGGGAAGGAATTCTTTTTTTTTTAAGATTGTATTTATTTATTTGGCAGAGGGAGTGCGTACAAGCAAGGGGAGTGGCAGGCAGAGGGGAGAGGGAGAAACAGGTTCATGACCTGAGTCCAAAACAGATGCTTAACTGACTGAGCCACCCAGGTGCCCCAAGGGAAGGAATTCTTAAACAAGACACAGAACACCACAAATCATAAAAGGGAAGGTTGAAACATTTGACTACATTAAACTGTAAAACTTGTGAATGACAAGACACCATTAACAAAACGATAAACTGCAGCGAGAAGACCTAACCCTAACATGAGATCAGTATCCAGAATATGTAAACAACCCCTATGGATCAATAAGAAAAACAAAAAAATACCTCAATGGAAAAGTGGTCTAGAAATATAAACAGGCAGGGCGCCTGGGTGGCTCAGTTGGTTAAGAGACGGCCTTCGGCTCAGGTCATGATCCCGGAGTCCTGGGATCGAGTCCCACATCAGGCTCCCGGCTCAGTGGGGAGCCTGCTTCTCCCTCTGACCTTCTCCCCTCTCATGCTGTTTCTTTTTTTTTTTTAATATTTTATTTATTTATTTATTTGTGAGAGAGAGAATGAGAGATAGACAGCACGAGAGGGAAGAGGGTCGGAGGGAGAAGCAGACTCCCCGCTGAGCAGGGAACCCGATGTGGGACTCGATCCCGGGACTCCAGGATCATGACCTGAGCCGAAGGCAGTCGCTCAACCAACTGAGCCACCCAGGCGCCCTCTCATGCTGTTTCTCTCTCTCTCTCTCTCAAATAAATAAATAAAATCTTTAAGAAAAAAAGAAATATAAACAGGCAGTTCATAAAGGAAGAAACTTGAATAGCTTGTAAGAAAAGATGCTCAATATCCCTAAATTCAGGAGAATTTAAACTAAAACAACAAAGATATCATTGCATACCTATAGTCATAAGCAAAAAATAAGTAAATGAATAAAGTCTGAAAATATCCAAAGTTGATAAGGGTATCTAGAAATGGTACTTATATATTGCAGGCAGGAGTATACATCAATACATCACACATACTTCTTTGGAGAGAAGTCTGGCTAAACCTCCTAAAGTTCAAGATGTGATATATACTACAAAGTCAGCAAATCTACTCTTAAGTGTGTATCCTAGATGTGCACCCAAGGAGATATGTACTAATATGTTCAGTGCAGCACACTTTGTAGTAGAAAGAAAATCTAACTATTCCTTAGTACAGATACACAAACTGTGGCCGATTCATGCAATAAAATACTATACAGCAAATAAAATGAATACATTAGAGCAGTGGTTCTCAGAATTTAGGATGCATCAGAATCACCAAGGAGGGCTTGGGAAAGGACAAATGGCTGGATCCTACCCTTGGAGTTTCTGATTCAATGAGTCTTGCATAGGTAGGGCTGAAATGCTGCATTTCTAACAAGTTCTCAGGTGTTACTGATGCTGCTTGCTGGTCCAGGGACCACAAAAGTAGTCACAAGTTTCAGCACAGTTAAATTTTGAAAACCTAGCAGAGTTAAAAAGATAAAAGCAAGTTGGGAAAGGATACATAAAATATATATCTAGATACATTAAAAAATAGTATACAAATTGGAGAGATATTGAGATACAGATATACCTTTATAATAAAAGTACAAAATATATGTGGGAATGTATTTCAGGAGAGTGATTGTCTCTGGGAAGGGAGAGGAAGGAAATGGGAAGAGAGTCTTAGCAGTGAGTAGAAGGGTATGTATTATATTATTTTACGTACTTTTAATGCATGTTTGAAATGTTAAGGAATTGAAGTTCAAATTATATAGCATCTATCTCATGGATGAGTGTGAATAACAACTGATATAATGTGAAACTTTCTGGGTGGGAAAAGATAGGAAGATGAAGTTGGGCCACAAAATCTCTGTCATTGTATATCTAACCAGAAAAATAATAATAATAAGTTAAAAGATAACAGAAAAATAAGAGAATCAATCAATTCAACCAAACAATGAAAAAGCATACAATTTTATGGCATAAACATCAAAAAGGGGTAACGGCAGGAAAGAGAAGATTCTGAACTGAGTCAAGTGTGGTTCTTAACCTATGCATGAAAGGATACAAGGGAAGCAGGTGAATCCACAAAATCCTGAGACTTCTCACTTAGAATGAGTGAACAACCTGGGGAAAAGTAAAGAAAAAAAAAATCCCTGGGCACAGATGTCCCTATCTGGCTCTGGGAGCTCTCAGCCAAGGTGGGAAAAACCACCCAGCTTCCATTTTCCCAGGTGCCATGATGAATTATGAATTATTAAGGACCCGAAGACCATGCATATCTGTCCATAGGAATCAGGCACACCCTGCACTCACCACAGGTGAGACAAACTAGACAATACTGTGTGTCTCTGTTTCTTTCCTTCAAGTATTTACCTGTGTATAATTATATACTCAAATGTGATTATTCACCTAATTCTCTCTCTCCACTAGAAAGTAATCTCCAAGATAGCAGAGATGGGTCTGCATTTGCTCATGACAGTGCTTTGAAAGTAGCTGTCTGATAAACCATAGGGCCACCTAGTAGGTGTATAAAAAACATTCAATGAATGGAGCACTGGGTGTTATATGCAAACAATGAATCATGGAACACTACATCAAAAACTAATGATGTAATATCGGTGACTAACATAACATAATGAAATAAAAAAATTTTTAAAAAGTATACTAAAAAAAGAAAACATTCAGTGAGCAAATGAGTGAAGGAGCAAATAAGTGATTGTCAAAGAAATCTGACTTCCCATAACATTCCAATTCCACAGCCACCATTTTTTCTTGGCATGCACTATTCAAAGGAGAAAAACTAGACCCCCGTGGGGTCTGAGGCATTTCCTAACTAATAAAAAAGCCTACCTGATTCATATAGCCATAGCTGGGATTAATAAAATGTATTTACTTGTGTGAGCAAATTCCCTTCCCTCTGACAAATTATTCTAGAGATTAAATGAACAATACAGCATTTTGCATGCTTCATAGTCAACAGTTACATTCTGAGAAATTTATTTCTGACATTGAATAAATATTCCAGAAAGTAACTCAAAAAGAACCTGTGACTATATCACCAGAAGCGTCTTGCCCCTTGTCAGCGAAACTAATAGGGTACACACCCTATTTAAATGTAGATTTAAATAAAGCGTTTTTTCTACCTCTCTGCTCTCTTTGTTCCTTGGGATCCGGAGGTTACAGGAATATATATACTATTCTCCAACACACATCCAAAGGTGTTTTGTTTTCTCTTGCGTTTTATGAAAAACTAAATCGAAGTATTTTAGGATTTAAATGATCTATTTCCACAGTTAGAATGGAAGGAAGGCGCTCCGAAAACCAGAAGAAAGGCGAAGACTTTGGGGTCGGGGGACCAAGCCTGGCCCCATCCTTAGCCGTGGATGCCGTTACTAGGCAACCCCTAGCGTTCTCAACGGCCGCCGGGAAGCCACTTCCCCGCCCTCATTGCTAAGGAGATGGACGCCCAACTCAGCCCTGCCGTAAACCCACGCGCTCTTGCGACATTGCCGCGCCTGCCGCTGCGTGCGCGCCCTCTGCCCCCACTCTCCGCCCCGGCCGCCATTGCCTCGTGCCCGCGCCGGTCGGTTGGTGGCGCCTTTGTCCTACGGCGGGCAGGTGGGCTGAGGTGGAGGCGGCAGGGGCGGGCCTGAGGCGAAGGAGAGGCCGGGAGCCCGCCGCGCTGGTAGCGGTGAGTGCCGGGAAGCGGTGGCCGTCCGCCGAGGGTGGGGCTCACGGCAGGCGGTTGAGGGGGTTCGGGCCGGATGGGGAGGCTGAGGCGGGAGGGCCCGCTCGACGCGCGGCCGCGGTCGCGGCCTCGGCTCCCCTCCGGGTGCGCGCGGAGCTGCGCATGCCCGGTGTGGGGCGCGGCCTCTGGCTCCCGTCAAGCCCAGGCCCGGCCAGCCGTGGTGGTCTCGGGTCCGGGCGGCGCCGCACTGCGGCCGCCTGTCTGTGTGCGAACCGCCGACAATAGTCCTCCAAGCTTGTCTGTAGGGTAGGCCTGCACACCCCGCGTCCCTTTCTCGAAATGGTGAAGTCGCTCGCCTGCGGGTCCTCAGCGAGTCGGTGGCGCAGGCGGGATTCGAACTCGGACCGAGGCGGCTCGCCTCTCCGGGCGTTCTACCGGGCGTGCAGCGCCGTGCGGCGAACCGAACGCTGGCCCCCGTCGCCGCCGCCTCTCGGCCCCTTGACAGCATCTTCAAGGCGTCTGTCTCCTTGTCGCGTGATACCCCCACTCACTTTATAATGCGGACCCCGGGCCCCAAGGATGGGGAAGAAACTGTGCCCGAGGTTACCGCGGAAACTAGCGACAGAGCCAGCGCCCCAACCTGCTGGCTCTTCTGTCTCCTGGACCAGGGCACTCTCCGCTCCCGAGGACCCGCCGGGGCCTTTTTTTAGGACGGCGTTTCCCAAATTTCAGTCTCTCGCGTTGCACCTTTCTGTCCGTGTACCTTCTGTACTGTTATTTATTTACCAAATGTTAATATTTTTCTTTAAGCTGACTCCTTTTTTTTCTCCTTAAATACATTTGTTTAAGGTGGAAACGTAAATCGCAAAATGGAAAGCCATTTTCTAATGCTCATAAAAAATAAATACCTATCTATTAAAATAAACAGTGCGTCCTTGTTCCTCCTCAAGTTATTCTGCGTTCCACGCTTTGGGAAACGCTGCCCTAGGATTATGGGGTTAATTGTCGTCCTGGCTTTCGCTCTGCACAGAATTTTCCCCTGAGGCATAGCGGATTCCATGAAATGCCCCAGGATCTTCGGGGATGATGATATTTATAAGGCATTTTCGTTGTAAACTGTTCTTATTATTAACTTGCAAGCGATAGTCCCAGGGAACTGCAGGAACTGTCAGCTCTAGTGCACCCGGTGTGCCTCTTCAGTTTTCTTGTAGCACAGTGGTATGGTAACCACCTGACAATTTCTGCATACGAAGATGGAGCAGTTTTGGTTTTTGACAATTCTAGATTTAATGTTTTTTGTATGAGCCAGTCTGGGTATGAAAACTAACTTTCATGTTGCCTTTTTCCAACCAGTAAACCCCAAGCTTTTGCATTATGGGTATTGGAGATCACTTGGCTATTTAACATCTGTTTCTTCCTATATTCTTGTTTCTTTGCCTTTCTTTTAGCTCATCTGTCACCCTCCAGGTACTCTTTGAAACCTCTGACATGATCTTTTAACCTAAAACATAGAAACTAGTTTTCCTTGTAGAATGTGCTGGAGAAACCGTATTTCAAGGCCCAGTGGAAGGAATTTTTCTAGGTGCATGTTGTTCAGTGTCGCTTGCTGGTGAATACTGCACATTTAAAGAAGGCATTAGGAGTTCCTGTTTCCTTGCTAGATCAGATGCTGCCAATTGATGAATTGTTGAATAAAGCTAATTAGGTCTTTTCAAAGAAAGGGAGGCACTGACAGATTAACTTATTTATGTAAACAGTCTGTTCTGTTTGTAGTCCGTTCATAAACTTTTTGTGTGTGAGAGAGCAGATTTACTTTAATTCATTGAAAGGAAACTCAGAGAAGTCTGTTCAGGCCATTCAGGTGTTGTTTCGTCAAAGGCTGTTAAAAAAAAAAAAAATCCACATTCCTGGGGGTTACTTTGGTAAGAGAAAAATGTAGAACTTACATAAGGCTAAGGTGGTTTTCTTCACATTTCTCAGCATCAGTCCTGTTTAGAGAAGAAATGAGAATTTTTTACTCAGGTCCATTTCAGAACTTCAGCAAATGGAGCTTCAATCTACCAGTGCTCAAAAGCTAAGTCCTTTGGAGAGGTTTTAAGAAGTGTGATAAAAAAGAGTGGCTCATGCTTTGAAACTTCTTTCTTGATAACCGTTGCAAGCATTCCATCCCTGTGGCCTGCAGATGGCAGTGCCTTTGTATGGCTTGTTACTACTGTGAGAAGTATTGGAATTCGGTTGTGCTTTTTAGAATGAGAAACCTGTGGAGGAAATGTATTTAATATTTTATTCCCTTCAACTATCATTGTTTGTTGTTTTTGACTCCCCACACAAAGAATGAAATGTCTGTTCTTAAACTCACTATCCCTCTTAATGGTAATGATAACATACAACCATCGGTGCGTATGATTTACAAAGCAGGTTTTAAAGTACCAACTCATTTGCTGCCGCCAATCATCTTGTGAGATAGGTAGGCTGATATTAAATATTTTTTGCTTATGAGGAAATAATGGCACAGAGAAGTTAGATTTTTTTTGCCCAAATCATATACTTAGTAGAACATATTCAAGATACTATTGAAGATAAAAGATTTTGTGGTCAAGAAAAATTGGGAAATAATGAGGTAAGGAGGTGTCCGTATTCCAGAATTTTAATATGCTAAACATATGCACTGTAGATGTTCAAGAGAGGAAGATATCATTGGTACCTTTCTCTTGCTATCCTCCTATATACATGTTTAGGTCCTAGTGTTTTCCCAAACTGACTATTCTTTCTGCCACCCTCTGTTTCATCTCTGTACCTTGTGGTTTACTAATGATTACCATGTGTCTTGAGACAAGTGCTTTTAAAGCTCAGTCAGCTTTTTTTTGTGCCAAAAGATTTGTCCTGTGAACAGCATACACATTTGTCTAGACTATTTGGCTTAAGCAGAGTTAAACTATCAAGAAGTTAAAAGGGCAGTGACCAACAGAAAATTACCCTTTATGCTACTTTCATTAATGAGAAGTGTTAATGAAAGGGTCAGGGTAAGGCCACTGTCTGAAGCAGCAGCACATTAGAGAAATACGAAGTATACTGACAGCTAAATATATAATACCAGCATGCCTGCTGCTTTTTAAATGGTGGTTTTATTACCACCAGATATGAATACTTATGGTCATTTTCATTCTTTATCCTATCACTAAAAAAAAACAAGAGATAATAGGTCAACTGGACCAATTACTTTTTTTTAATTTAAATTCAATTAATTAACATAGTGTATTATTAGTTTCAGAGGTAGAGTTCAGTGATTCATCAGTTGTACAGAACACCCAGTGCTCATTATCAATTACTTTTATGTTAAGAAAGTAATTTCCCTCAAAGAGTCAGAACTTTTGCAGACCATAAGACTCTTTTCCCTTTATTTCCTGTTCAGAAGAGTATTTTTGTTCACCTATATAAAGACCAACAACTTTAGGCAAGGATCAGGGCAACTTAAGTTGCATTGGAGGACATTTATAAAGCAGAATGTCTTACAACTTTAGCTCTATAAAATATCTTGAGTGATCCCCTGGTTTGGATCTAGAATGATTGAATTACTGAAGATTAGGTTGATCCTGCAGTTGGTGAGCAAGCTTTGGAGAACTTTGAATTATGAATAATTTGACTTTAAGTGAGTATACTTAATTATGCAACTGGAGATTGAGATAGTAATAACATATTTACCATCAGAGATGATACAAGAAATTTATTTTTAAATGTTTCTTCAGGAATTATTCTTGATACCCAAAAGAAAAAAAAATAGGAAAAACATGATTTCATTCAGTGCAAAAACTTAAGATTATGAACTGAGCTTTTCTTTGGAAAACTTACTTTAGGACAGCATCACTCACTGGAACAGCTTGTTGAAAGTACAAATCTGTATACTGCTCACCAACCCCCCAGCTGACCAGTCTCTGGAGGTGAGGGCTGGGGAATCTGCCTTTCAGAAGCAACCACTGCAGTTTTTATGTACATTAAAGTTTTGAGAACCCCCTGATTTAGGCTTTAGAAAATGAGTTTTCACTGGAAATAGAAGATTGAATCATATTCTAGTACTAATCTATTCATATCCCAGATTACTAATAGGAATTGACAACTTTGGTTTATGGTTGGGTATACATTTTAAGCAAAACTGTAATTTAACTATAAAATGTTCTTTGGCTTCATAGTTTGAACTAGAGGTAATAGCAATAGTTAGAATACCTGTAGAGTTTTCAATATTGTAATTCCTTTCACTCACATCAGTAAGATGCTTTTACCTTCTTGAGAGCAAAGAAAGCAGACCTACCAAGATTCCTTGGTCTGCTTATTAAATTTAGATTTCCTCCACCTTGCTTTTAGTGGTATGGATGTGAAATCCTATGTGTGACCATTTTTCTCTTCTTGCAAAGAGATGCATTTAGATATGAAAACCAAATGCCTCAGAAGAAGCAGGAATTTTAGCCCCTGCCAGCAAAACAATATTGACAAGTCTAGTTGGCAGAATTTAGAGAGAACTTGAGTTGGCAGATTGCCATTTATTAACCAAAGAAGTGGATAATATGGACTCAAAAAGCGGCAAGCTCAGTGGTTATTATTTTTCTTGCTATTTTATAAGTAGGTAATTGGGAAAAGAAGCTTAGATTTTCAGGATACTTTTTAAATGATCAAATGAAATTGAAAAGTTGTTGGTGCACACTCCTCCTTGGGGGGCAAGGGCACTGACCTATAATTGGATATTATTATTAACTTTAGTACAATGGAAACTTGGGTTGATGATTCCATTTCCTTTGGAGGTAGCTATGTGATTATGTTTTCTATACTGTTTTCAAGGGTTATACTTTGACAGATTTTAGCCATTGTCGTGACGTTTTCTTTGTAACATGATGTTTATGGGTTATTGCTCCTTGAATAGAGGAGTTTAAAGAGGTTTCTAAATGGAGGATCTAAGTGTAGGTTACGCATAAGCTAAAGGGATAAGTAGATAATACAGTTCCCAAATACTT